CTCCCTTGACCATCTTCTCTCCCACTGCTTCCCACCATGTGCCCTACTCTGTCTGCTATTTCCCAAACATACACAACTCTTCCCAACTGGCGAACAGCACACAACGCAACTTTACCCACCCTTCAAAGCTTGGGTATCACCTCCTCCATGAAGTCCCCCTCCTTCTGGCCAAATGCCTGTAACTCATCCTCTTCTGAAACCCTCAGCATCGTGTGGCTTCTCTTGTGGCCCTCATGACATCCTGCCTTATTGCTAGACCATGCCCCCCCCTCCCCCACCACGAGTCCATGAAGCAGCAACCCAGCAAACATCCCTGAGACACCAGAATGGCCAGCACCATGTTACACAAGCACCAGCCCCCTGGCCGAGGATGTCTTACAGGACAGAAGCCTTACAGGAACGTTTCCAGGGGCTCCCGGCAAGCTTTACACACTACCGATAGTCTGGGCCCCTGCCCTCCCTGCCCTCCCTGCCCTCCCTGCCCTTCCTGCCCAGGGAAAGCCCGTCACAGTCATATGCCAGGCACCGTGGCTCAGTCTTGATAAGGGCTGTTTTTATGGCCATGTCAGTAATCCAGAGCCAACAGCTCCTTGGAGCTGTGTACACAGGAGAGGGAAGCTGCAGTCCCTGCGGAGCTGCTATTCACTCCCTCCAGCTCCAGTTGGGCAGAAATGTTTTCTTTTCCATTGCGTAAGATGCTCCCAACGGTGACAAACCGAACACCAGCGGCAGGAGGAGATAAAAGCCCTGTGGGTGAGAGTGAGGAGCAGAGAGTGACACACGGACGGGCAAGTGTGAGCCGCAGGACCAGCCAGCCACACGTGACCCTTCCAACAAGTGACAGAAAGAAAAGGGAGCTCTGACCAAAAGCAGAGCCAGCGTGTTCCGCCTGCCGGGCCCTTTCGCTCCTCACTCTGCAGACATGGTCTGGGTGGCGTCGAAATTAGGGGGACTCAGGGCTGCAGCAAGGGAGGAGAGGAGAGAGGGGGCCAGGCTTTGTAAGCTTCAAGGCACTGTGTGGGTGTGAGAGGCTGGGCATTCAGGCCTGGCCATCAGAATAAGCCTGGGCCAAGGCATCCGAAACCCAGACAGGAGGCCCAGCTTTGCCTAAAACTCGGAGAAATGGCCTGACCTCAGCTCCTCCCTTCCCCTCCTGTCACATGGGAACAGCAACTGTCCTGAGCTCATATGTGGCTGTCTGAGGTCCCTCCAAGAGGTCAGACATGAGTGGGCTTAGGAAAGGTACAGAGCCTCACTCGTGCAGTGAGGCTGGGGGAGTTGACACAGGCAGGCTTTATAAGTATCACCTCTGCCTCAGTAATCCCACCCGTGGGGAATTATCCTATATAATAAAAGGCTAATATGCAAATTTTCCCCTCGACCAGGAGTTCAACCGGGAGTTCGACCAGGGGGCGGGACTGGCCGGCCAACTGCCCTTGGCCCCTCCCCCCAGCCAGCCCCACCTCCGATTGTCCCCCTACCCCAAGGGGGTGGCCCCACCCATGCACGAATTTGTGCACCAGCCCTCTTGTAAGGAAATAATCCTAATTAGAAAATAAAATCTTTACACATGTGGTTATTCATCATAGTATAATTTATGATCATAGAAAAAAAAATAGAACTATCTAGGTAGCCAAGAACAGGGAAATGATAAAAATGAACTCAGTGAAACCATTAAAAAAAAAACAACAATGCTCAAAGACTCTGATTACACAGAAAATGGTGATGAGCAACATGAACTGAAAATGTCATGAGACACAGCTTCACTGCTGTCCTTTCATATTTTAGTTTAAATGAAGGTTCAATTTTATAGTTTGATCTGTTAAAAACACTCCAAATGCGTTAAATATAGAATATAACTCCTACTTTGCCTAAATTATTAAAAAGCTACATGCTGGGAAAATATAAGATAATCAAGAATAGTGATGATGTTTATGTAGCAGTAAAAGGATAACTGTTTTTCTATTTTAATGTAGTTTTCAGAGCTTCTCTTGTGAATGCATGTTGCTTTTAAAACAGAAAAAGAAGTAAGCATAGTTTAGAGGTAGTCTGAGTACAGACAGTGATCCTGATGCCATGGAGGTTGGGGGAAAGGAGAGGCCTGGACACGGAGAAGTAACCTGGATGTGTGGGGCGAACACCAGCTGGGATGTCCTCAGACATAACTCGGAGCTTTTCTGACTCAGCCTTCCTGGGTGGGACCACGAGCTTATGACCCACCCATGCTCCATTCTCACTTTCCAGGAGAAAAAGAACACTGTGAACCAAAATAGCACCAACTACACGGGAACAAACTCATCAACAAAGCCCAAAACAACAGCAACTTCTATAATTTAAAAAAAGGCAGCAATAAAGAGCCGTGACCAAACTGAGACGACACTAACGGTGCCTGAAAGCAAAGCATCCTGGGCACACTGCAGGAATTCGGTGTGGACGTCCGCATGCGGCCACGTGCCTGCCGCAGCCAGACTGCTCGGCAGAACCCCGCCTGGGCAGCTCCGGGCTGCTCGTTTCATTTTATGAATGTCAGGTTTTAGTAACTCCTAACAACTCTCTTCTTAGGAAGCAGACTTCGGGCAGCTGTAGAAATGAATCTCTGCCAGCACATTATCATTCGTCTGGAGAACCCCAGGAAAGACTGGCATTTGGGTCTGCCCGCTGCCCACCTCACACAGCCCCTTCCCCACCGTTTGCGGTCCAGAAGCATGGACTGCACTTGAGGGACACCAAGGATCTGATCTACCGCATGCCAGCAAAGCTCTGGCCAAAGCCGTGTCCCTGCAGACATCCCTCCCAGGCACGGCCAGCAGAGTTAGGGCCCAAGCCCGGCAGGACAGCCAGAGAGACAGAGGGACAGCAGCCTGGGGCTCCCTCAGCCTTGTCATCCACACTTCACAATTCACTGCCTGGCCCTCCCTGACACAGTGAGGCAGAAATATCTTCTCACCCCAATAATCCACAAGGAGAATTACCTATTTCCCCTCCCTCTGGTGCCTCAGAGCATGAGATGGCCTGGAGTCTAGCACAAGGGAGGGAGGAAAAGGAAGGTCAGGCCTCCCCCCAGGCAGAAGCTAACTCCGGTCAACTCTTCAGTCACAGCATTTCATTCAAAGCAAATCAAGCTTGTGGGACAACAGGGCTGGTCAGGCCCTGAGGGTCCATCTAGTCGACACTTTTAAACTAGTTTAATCATGGAACTCTTTGACCAAATAGAATCTTGCTCCAAAGCCTGGTCTACACAGTAATCCATGGGTTCCTAGGAGTGAAGGTGGGGACAGGAGAGGTGGGGTAAGGTAGAACTGCTCTCTCTTGGCTCCCCAAACTACAGAACCCCCAAGGGGGTTCCTGTGGCCCTAGACCAGGGGTGGGCAAACTTTTTGACTTGAGGGCCACAATGGGTTCTTAAACTTGACCGGAGGGCCGGAACAAAAGCATGGATGGAGTGTTTGTGTGAACTAATATAAATTCAAAGTAAACATCATTACATAAAAGGGTATGGTCTTTTTTTTTTTTAGTTTTATTCATTTCAAATGGGCCGTAGTTTGCCCACGGCTGCCCTAGACTCTTCTGATCAAAGCAGCTCACTAGATCAGCCTCATCATTTACAGGTGGGGAAACTGAGGCCTCCAAAGGCAAACTGGCCCAGCAAAAGGCACACAAGCACTTAGTGGCAGAACTAGAACCAGCATCTATATCTGTTTTCTCACCTAGAACCAGGAGAGCAGGAACACGCCTTCCTCCAACCTGAGCACCTGCACCGGCCTGCCCAGAGAGAGACACCCTTGCAGCCCGCCTGACGGGGTGGAACTAACTGCTACTTAGAGAATCAGGCCTCCGTGTCAGACAGCTCTGCCACTTGAATGGTTGCATATCGCTGGGCAGGCCACTCAAGTCCTCCGTCTCTCTCATCTGTAACCTCGAAGGGTGGGTGAGAGGACCAGAGCTGGCAGAGCCACACCTGGTTTCTGTGAAGAATCACAAATGCTTGCTCTTCTCCCCGTGCCCTTGTGGTGAGCTCGTCTCCTCCTTCCTTGGACCCCTCCTCAGGGAAGGTCCTGAGCCCTTGCCTTACAGCTAAGAGAACACCCAGGGGCCTCTGTCGTGCAGGAGCCTGCCTTGTGGAGACAAAGTCTAGATTTCCCTGTGGTATGACAACCCGCCAACAAAGCCCAGCTTCAACCTCCAACTCCTGAATTCCTAGCTTACCAGGGCCCTTCAAACTGTGGTGTCCTGGACACCCCTTTCACTTCTGGTCAGCTGGGCCAGAGCAGCAGGCCTCCACCAAGTGTCCTGGCTGTCCCCTAGGCAATGACCCCAAAATTTCCCTTCTCACCCCTAAAAGGCTCAGGTCATATGGTTCACCATGGCCAGAAAGTGGGCAATCTCTAGGGCTCCAGAATCAATCCAGGACCAGCTGTAGGAGAAGAATCCAGAAGGCTGGGACACCCCTCGAGTGAGGATACCCGCCAGGCTTCTAATCCAAGGATGACCAAACCTGCCAGCACTCCCACACAAGGTGGACCTACCACACACATTTCTTCTGCCCTGGAGAGACCAAAGCCTAGTAAATCCCTTAATTGGGTATCGGGGTTTCCAAAAAAAGTCCTATTCAGTCATAATTTGCACCTCTCACATCTAGATTTGATATTTTAAAGTCAGATTAAGTACAGATTCAAACTAGAAAGAACAGGGTCACAGATGTGGACGGAGGGTCACCAAGTCCTACCTGCCCTTTATCAGATGAACAGAGTCCCGAGGCTGGTTGCATGCAAGGGGCAGGGAGCCCAGCTGCCCTGGACCACACTGCACCACTCATACTGCGGGAGCTATGCAGCCTAGGGCCCCGCCCTTGGTTCTCTGTGCAGGAAGCTGTTACATAAAGGGTATTGCTGGCCCCCTCACCCTCTCTTTGTGGAGCTCCTCCAATCAGGGCACTGGCGGTGTTGGGCCCAGGGAAACAGAGGCAAACATCAATACCAGGGGCTCGCGGCCCGGGTTACCTTTGGGCATGATCTGATGCATGGCAACTGAGAGGAAGAAGATGGAGTCGCTGTAGTAGGTCCCGGAGCCGGCGCTGAAGTGCTTCTGCATGGCCTCCACGATGGGGAAGAGCTTGTCAGTCAGCACGGCGACATCGTGGAAGACGACCTGCAGCGGGGCCGGAGGAAACCACAGGAGTGAGCAAATCGGCTCCAGACACCCAGCACCCACGTGGGCCACAGAGGGAGACACACAGTGCCTCTCCATGGTCACCAGCAGGGCGTCCCAAGTGAGAGCTAAGGAACCGGGAACAATGGGAAAGCAGCAGACGCTGGCTATGGGGACGGGACATCACGCACCTGGGGGGTGTAGGGGAGGATGAGTGGAACGAGGCCGGGGGTGGGAGCAGCCCCCAGTCCGCTTTGTTTCTGACCTTGAAGCTGGGCCATCCTGAAGGTAGTTCTGTGCCCAGTGACTGGAAACCATGTGGCTCTGTCTGGTCCTGAAATGAGGACGCTCAGCACATCTGAGTAGCTGGCCCTGGTGGCCACTACCCATTCCACAGGCCAGCCAGGCGCTCCACTTCCCCTGTCCAACAGGGTGCACAGTGGCAGGGGCCCTGGAAAATGCCTAAGGCCACAGGAAATGCATCCATGGACCCAATCAGCACTTCGTGAGTGTCCTGACGTTTTGGAGGTGCTGTGAGGGGTATAAGGAATAACCGCAGAAGATCTAGGGTCCACCAGAGTTATGCAGTTTATTCTCACGTACACATACCGATCCCCAAAACAACCTGGGACCTCAATGAGGCGACATCACTATCACAGCTCCCAGTTACAAACAAGAAAGCAGATGCTCACAGAGGTTACACTTGCCCAGCATCACTTTGCTCATAAGTAGCAGAGCCAGAACTTGAACACTGGTCCCATTTCCAAGCCCCATGCTCTTCCCACTATAAATGCTCCTTCTTTCCTTAACAGCAGCCAAATGGGGAGGAAGCCATCAGCAGAACCAGTGATCAGAGTGGACAAAGTACTCATAAGACCCTAATGAGTTGGTTTCCTTATTAGACATTAGTCCATATTGAAGTCCATCCCTCACACAGCCCCAGCCTCATCCAAGGCACCAAGTACATGCACTCTGCTCACATATTTCTGCTAAGTTTTCCCTGCTGCTCCATGCTCCCCACAACATCCAGAGCATCCCCACTGTGCACAACAAATGCAGCCCAAGCCAGAAGCCCAAATGTCCTTCCTCCCCTTCCCCCCTCACAAGAGATCTGCTGATGGCCCTTCCCACCTCCCTCTTCCCAGGCAGCCAACAGGACAGGACAAGCCTGGAGGTGGCCCCATGCTGCTCAGCCACCACCACACTGACCCCAGGGCCAAGGCCCTCCCTGAACAGGGCGCCCACAGCGAAGGAGAGGTCACGCGAATCCCCTGACAGGCTTGTGTCCATCGTCAGTGGCCATGCCAGCAGGAGAAAACACAGGTGCGGGTGGTGCTAGAGAAGTTCTCAAGCAGGTAGGGTGCCTTTTGCCATTCGCTCTGCCCAGGTCCCTTCCTGGCCCAGTTCCATGGTGCCCCCTGCCCCGCCTGCACTCCCCGAGCCTTCGGTTGTCGATCCTCTCCGAGCCCGGCCGTGGTGGTAAGCCACCCTGCCTGCTTTTCCCTGCTTTAGGTTCTGCTTCTGGCCAGAAACCTGTTTTTATCTGAGCTCACCTAAGTGTTTGCTTTTGTCCTTAGGTCTGCTTAAATGTCTAAAATGCTATTAAACTCAGAGGAACTTATATGGCATCAGTCCTCATCATTCCCCAACGACAGCCCTTTAAATCTTTAATGTCTTTAGAAAAGTCTTTTTTAAATGTCTTGACATTTCCAATGTACTACTTCCCTTTACCCTTTTTCTGACTGCTTTTTTTTTTTTCTTATACTTTGACTTTTTCTTTTTTGTGGCCTCTTAACCTGCGATGGGAATTCAGGCCAGCTCCACAGTTTCCCAGCAGATACCGAATTATATCTTTCTCCTCCCACCCACCAGGACCTGCCTGCACCCCCGTGACTTCCTGACTACACAGGCATCACAAACCCTGACAGGTGTCCCCTGCCATGCCCCCCTCCAACCGCTTCTGGTGTGCCTCTCGCGTAATCTTCTATCCGTACAGACTCACTTCTCTCTTTCCTTGGCTTCACATCCTCCGATGGCTCCTCACGGCCCTCGGTTATAGTCCAAATAGCGTGGCCCATGAGGCCCTGCACTAGGGGCTCTGGCTACCCACCCTTCACACCCTCCCTCCTCCAGGGATGGGGCAGAACTAAATCCAGCAGTCCTCACCCTGCCCACCACAGTGTGGTGTCCTATGTCCTTGTATATTTGTACCAGCTCTTCGAACTGTCTGGAGCCCTCTCTCCCAGCCCTGCCCCTTCCTGCCAGCCCCCACCTGCCTGATAAACTCCTATCCAGTCTTCCAACCTTGCTTGGGCACCTACCCGCCTTTGCACAGCCTCCCACGACTCATCACGCCCTCGTGTGCACCCTGTATCACAGGGGGCGGCTCCACCTCCCCGTCTGGCTCCTCTGCAGCTCTGCTTCTCTATCCGCTTATGGGCACTCCTTGAGGCCAGAAGCTGTGACTGGCTTTGTGTCCTGTGCCCGGCCCTTGTCCCCATGGCAGGCCACGAATCAGTACAGGTTTGCTGAACTAAATGAGCCACACTTTGGGCAACTTACTAAACCGCTCTGAGCCTCAAATACAGAAATGATAACACCTACCTCCTCTGGTGGCTGCTAGAACCACCTGGGACAGGCAGATAACGCGCTGGCTCAGGGGTTGCCATGCTGCCCTGATTAGTCCTGAGTGTTGGCATCCTGCCCCCACCTCCCTCCACGGTCTCTGCATCCCTCTCCTCGCAGATCAGTCTTCACTCATGAGCCAGCTTTTCCCTGTGAGCCTCATTACACTTCCAAACCACTGCTGGGACCTAGAATGTTACAAGAAACTGGAGCTGACAAGAGGGCTCTCACAGAAATAGAAGCCTCTGCATTCATTAAAAAAGGAGAGAATGGGTATGTGTAAACACACACACACACACACACACACACACACACACACAGCGAGCAGGGCCTGCCACAGCCAAGACAGAGACAGAGATTTCAGCAGCCAGATTCCCCCCTACTCAAGCCCCCACCTCACCCAAAGTTTCACCGGAGACAATCCCATCCCATCAGCATTAATGGATTTATGAGGACAAACTGTACTTAGTACACAGTTCCAAATGCTGTACGGTAAAGCCTGCTCCAGTGAATATTTCATATAATAAATCTACTTACAAGTAAATTAATATGTTCCATGGAGTGCACTTTATGCAGCAAGGAGCAAATCACAGACACTGCAAGTGGGAATCACAACACCCAGGCCTCCCAATGTCTAAAATAGGTTGCAAACCGTGATCTCCTGAGGGCAAGGCTGGAGTCTGGCACTCTGAGGTCCCCACCCTGCCCGGGGTCTAGTGCCAGGGAGGCGCAAAGAAGCAAGATCAATGGAAAAAGAGAAAAATAGAGGGAGAGGGGCAGAGAAAATGCCGCCCTCCCTCCGTTCCTCCTCCCTTTCAAATCCCTCACATCAGAGGTGGCAAAAAGAATTACCATGTAACCTAGAAAACCAGGACTATAAGGTGACTCCCATATTGAAGGCAACTGGCCAGTGAGACCCAAAAGAGTGGTTTGCACCAGCTTGACTACGTGATTTTTTTTAAAGAATAGTTTATTTAGCCCGGCCTGTGTGGCTCAGCGGTCAACCCAGGAACTAAGAGGTCACCGATTCGATTTCTGGTCAGGGCACATGCCAGGGTTGCGGGCTCTATTCCCAGTAGGGTGCATGCAGGAGACAGCCATCCCTATTTCTAGCTCTCTATCCCTCTCCTTTCCTCTCTTTAAAAATCAATAAAAACGTATATTTTTTTAAAAAAAAGAATAGTTTATTTATTTTAGAGAGAGAGGAAGGGGGAAGGACCAGAGAGAGAGAAACATCAATGAGAGTACATCGATCGGCTGCCTCCTATACCCCCCTTACAGGGGATCGAGCCACAACCTGGGAATGTGCCCTTGACTAGGAATCGAACTGGCAACCCCTGGTGCACAGGATGACTCCCAACCAACTGAGCCACAGTGGCCAGGGCTTGACTATGTGATTGCTAGGGAAATAGATTAAAAAGTCAAATCACCATTTATATGTATATTTAACATAAAAATGTTAATTATAAAATACTAGAGGCCCAATGCACGAAATTCATGCATGGGTAGGGTTCCTAGCGGTGGCCGGGGCCTCCCTTTCCCTGGCCGTCTGACACTGCTGCCAGCCGGGGCCTCCCTTCCGGTGGTTGGCCAGTCAGCCCTGCCTGCTGGTTGAACTCCCAGTCGAGGGGACAATTTGCATATGAGGCTTTTATTATATAGGATTATTTCTCCAACACCCAGCTAACAAAATGATTTCTTTTTGAACTCTTCATGTGCATCCTCACCCATAAGGCCTTTACCAACCCTAGGACCCAGCTAAGTCATCCAGGCAGTTTTCCAGAACACATCATCCTGGTCATCCTTGTAAGATGTTAGCTACAGCTCCAGGTGAAATTAAGTAGGATGTTGTCATTGGAAATGGCATCCCAGCCCACAAGAACCCATGTTCATGTCATTAAGGCAGTTGGGTTTTCCATAAGCCTGTAGTCATATATTTGTAGCCACTTACTCCCTTCTTTTAAGTGATGTTTAGAGGCTCACTTATAGCAATATTCCACATTTATATTTATGAGATCAAAACCCCAGGAATAATGACTAAATCTGTTACATTTCTTTGCCTCCTTTTAGTCTTAATGAATGCTGCCATGTGACTTCTAGAAGCATCCAAAGTCAGTATGACAGGTTGTTTCAGGCGAGGTGTTCTCCTGCTGTCCTCTGCTGTCCGAAGTAAAGCATGCAGTTGAGAGGACAGGGTGTAATGTGAGATTTTGAAAAGTTTCCCCTTTTAATAAAGGGCAAGGTGGGGATGGGGGAGGGGAAAGGCTTGTCTCATAGCCACCATGCACAGCACATTCCCCACACTCCCAGCATGGAGACCAGAGCAACCAGAACAAGCCCGGTGCCAGGCACGGGCAGACGTTTCTGCGAGCCTGGCCCTGGGCTTGCTGGCACAGAAGGTCTGAAGAACCAGGCCACTGCTCCCCTAAACGTTCACGGGGACATAAAGCCATGCCAAGCCTGAGCCCAGCCGG